GGACCTGAAAGGTTGTAGACTGTACCTGGCCCCGGGAAGATGCTTTGTGTTTGTTGATTGAATGAATGAAAGATGGCTAACCCCAGATTGTGAAGCTGGGGGTGCATGCACTGGGCCCAAGTATGTCTATTCTACAAGCATGGAGGCATAATGGTATTCCTTTAAAGTTGAAGAAGAAAGGATTAATAAGGAGAAAGAAAAGAGAGGAGAGGTGGTGATGGGCGGAAGGTTGGTGGAGAAAGGGCTTGGGTGAGAACGGGAACAAGCTATGTTCATGGAAGACTTGGAGAGTCCTGGGCTAAACAGTACCCTCTGGGACCCATGGACAAAGCTATGCAGAGTTGGGATACTGGCCACGCTCCATCCCATCTCCACCACAGTCCCCTTGCCACATGGACTGCAGGGTAGATTTGGTTTCTTGAGAGTTCATTCACCACCAGCAGAGAAATAGGTACATAGGGAATTAAAACATCAGTAAGGTAGTGTCAACAGAAGGCATGTGGATGCACAAAACTTCAACTGTTTTATGATCCTACTTATATGAAATATCTAGAACAGGCAAAAACATAGAAACTCAAATTTATTAGTGGTTGCCAGGAGCTGGAGGTGTTTCGCCAGTGGGCAGCAGAGAGTTACTGCTTATGGGGTACTGAGTGACTGTTTGGGACGATGAGAAACTTTTGGGACTAGATAGCAGTGATGGCTGCACAACATGGTGAATAGAATTAATGTCACTGAAATGTACACTTAAAAAAGTGCTTTAGATGTTTTTGTTATAAGTACTTTATCACCATAAAAATTTGAAAATAAGTAAATTAGTTAAAAAGAGGGAATGTGCAGGGACAAAAATATGTGGGTGAATAAGCCAAAATAGTGCTGGTCACTTATAGTTAACATGTTTGCTTTTAGTACCCATACCATGAAATGGTATTTATAATCCAAGCCATGGTATTTCCCATAACCTCATATGCATACAAACATTGGACAGTAAATAAGGAAGATCACAGATGCATTTGAATTATGGTGTTGGAGGAGAATATTGAAAGTTCCACGGACTGTCAAAGGAACCAATACATCTGTGTTGGAAGAAGTACAGCCAGAGTGCTCGTTGGAGGCCAAGATGGTCAGATTTTTTGTTTCTCATACTTCAGACATATCAGGAGGGATCAGTCCCTGGAGAAGGATGTCATTTTTGGTAGAGTGGAGGGGCAGAGAAAAAGAGGAAGACCCCCCCAATGAGATGGATTGGCACAGTGGTAGCAGCAGCGGCTCAGGTGTATCAATGATCGTAAGGTTGTTGCAGGGCCCAGCAATGTTTCGTTCTGTTGTGCGCAGGGTCGCTATGAGTTGGTGCTGATTCAATGGCACCTAACAACAACAACAACAACAACAACAACAACAACAACAACAACAGCAAGTTGCCCAAGTGAGAGATGATGGTGACATACCAGAATGATGGAGGAACTAGAGAAATATCTGAAAAGAAGAATTGTGACCATATCAGCAGTGTGACTGACAGACTGCAGCTGTAGCTTTAGATACGGCAAACAGGGAGCATATTCCCACCATGCCAATCTGACTCGGACTTGGGCTGTTTTACTCAGTGCTTTCTGCAATCTTTGGATTACCTGAGATCTTTGGGTTAGATGAGGCCAGGTGGCCCATTCCTCTGCTTCCAAACAGTGCCACACAGGATTTCCTGCGAAAACTTTTACAACTTCTTTTACAACCTCAGCTCATATTTTACATAATTAGTGTTAGGAAATTGCCATGTGGATTTCATCTGAATGCCTCTAATTCTAGGGCTATTTGATGGTGATGAAATGCTGAGATAAGTTACCTGGGCCATCAAATTTGAATGATGTCAGCTAAAGTCATTTCTTCATTAACAACAAAATGCCTGCCTATCTCCAGAAAAGACATTCAATTCAATTTTTGTAGATGTTTTAGGTAATCACAAGTTCCTTGACCTAGCTACTCAAATTGTGGACCAACAACATTACCCGGGAGCTAGTTAGAGATGCAGGATTGAATCCAAACCACATTTAAACATGATTCCAGGTAATTCACATGCACATTGTATTGGGAGAAGCACCTCCGCCTTAGATTCTCCCCAAGGTGATCTAAAAGTGGGTGGGAAGTGGCAGATGCCAGATGCTTAAAAGGCAGCTAGCCTCAGCTAGTATTAGCAAAACCCAACTGGTTCAACAGGAACTAACTGTTCTCTGGAAGTTCCCTGCTCTCAAATCATGTAGAGCATTTCAGCCGAATGCAGAGACAACATGCTATTTGCTGGTTCTGTGGCTGGCCAGAGGCATCAACATGTTGTTAGGTGTAAATCTAGGGATGGGATGGGGAAAACTGTCTGGCTGCTCCCACAGGCGGCACCAGAGGTCCAGAGAGTCCAAGTTGCCCCCCTCATCCCTAATGTGCAGTGTGTGTTCTCATTCTTGTAGTTTGTATCTCTTAAGAGTCATTGTTATCCGTGGGTGGCTTGGGTGACTTTCCTATGTTCTTCTGTCTTGCAAGTGCACTGATTAACAAGAAGGAGATACTTTTAGCACCATAATAAAAATACCCCCACTATGGTCTTTTGGAACAGAACGCTCAGCACTGCTGATATTCAAGTGGTCAGCCTCTCCTCGTCAGTGACCTCTGCCACCCCCAGTAAACCTACCCCCTCGAGTGGATATTGGATGTGACACAGACAACAGGCTGGCAGAACAGATGTACTTGCTTTATTGCTGCTTCCTTGAGAAGTGGTTCAGGGCATAGAGTCGACACAGGAACTACATCATTTCCTTCTGAATTCTCTGGATGAAGTTGGTATTCTGCTTAGAGCCTGTGGTGTACAAATACTGTAAAATCAAAGACTATTGACTTTTATTTACGGTACCATTTTCACAATGTTGTTGTTGTTAAGTGCTGTACAGTAGATTCTGACTCATATTGATCCTGCATAGGGTTTTCAAGGAACGGATAGTGGGTTTGAACTGCCTGCAGGTTAGCAGTCCATTGCTGTAGTGCCACACCAGGAATCACTTTGCACATGTGGCACTGTAGGAAAAGCACCTGACCGCAAGGTCAGTCAGTTTGCACTGCACTTTAAACTCAGCAGCTGCCCCTATGAAAACCCTATACAGGGTCGCTACCTGACGGACGTAACAGCAGCACCAGAATAGCTTCTCAGGTCTTCTCCTTGGTTCCCTTTCCCCTGGTTGTTTTGTCTTTCCCCCTGGTTTCTTATCTTTCCCATGTTCACTCTTCCTCACCTCTCTCCACTGTCTCTCCTGTCCATTGACTCATTACCCCAGGACTTCCTGTCGGGTCCCACTTACCCTCTTGTCTCCACCCCCACTTTGTGCCTTTCCTATTAGCTCTTGATCTTTTGGAATGTCCCAGCCTGCCTCTTCTCCTCCCAGCTTTCATTCCCAAAGGCAACGTGTTAGCCACTTCCTAGTCCCTCTCTACTTCCCCCTCCCTCCCTCTTCCTTAGGAGTTTCTCTTCCCTCCCAAGACCCATGTCCAGAATCCATTTTTTTTTTTCCTTTGTCTTCAAGGGAACATGGGGATGGATCATAGAATGGTGGAACCAGGGTCAGAAAGGACACAGCTTACGGGCCACTGACAGTTACTGCAGTCAGAAGCTTTCTTCTTCTCAGAGTTCCTTCAACAATGACTTCCTTCTGTGTTTCGCTAAGGAAACAGGGCCCCCCACCACAACTCTTTCTTTTGTGCCTCAGCACACACACACACACACACACACACACACACTCCTTCTACGTGCTCTCAGTGCAGATGTGTGAGCTCCCAGGCTGCGCTTTCCTCATTGACCTCCTCCTGTGTTCCTTTGCCCCCAGCCAGGGCTAGTCTGTGCTTCAGGTCCTGGTCTGGGGTCAGGAGAAACAATTCTAGTTCGAGGAAACAGTGACCGTGGGGTTCAGTGATAGATCAAATAGGATGTTCATCGCATAGCTTCTACCTGGAGTCACTTCCAATCAATCAATCATTCAATCATTAGTAACTGCTATTGTGAAGTGGGATTCGCTCTGTGTCATTGGGCATGGCATCTTCAGAACACAGAGAATCAGGAGGCAAACCCAACAGAGTCCTTAAGAGACACCCTTGCAACCAACCATATAACCATATCCCTCAAAGTCGACATTCTTGGCCAGGGTTCCTCTAAGCACATTCCAGAATCTGGATGCTACATTCCTCAGAGCTGGGGAAACACAGGTTCTATCCAGGCAGATTCACACTAGAAGATTTGTGGAAAGTGCCTCAATTTCACAGAGGTTGATTTTTTGCTATGTCTTCAGTTTCTCTATACCAGCCGTAGGGGAGATGTGAGGATTACCCAAGGAACAATCCATCGAGCAAGATGAAAGTCTTCACCTGGCAGTGAATCGGAGGCAGTGTTGCTGGGGCCAGGCCTCCACCATAAGCCTCAGGACACCTGCATCTTTCTCCTGCCCCATCTTCACAGCCCTCCTGCTCCTGAGCTCAGACTTGCTGGATTGCCTGTCACACCTTCACTCTTAGCCCACCCTTAGAGGAGAGTTGAGAAGCTGGTCTGCAAGCCCTGCATGTGACTGGGGTTGCAGGTAAGGGAAAACATGCCCAACCAAGTCCAACCACACCCTGCTGTTCTGTGTCCAAAACTGGGGTGTGGATTTCCCAGGGAAAATTCACCAGGTAAGGAGGAAGCAGCAAGGTCTTAAGAACAGGAAGACTTTCTGCTTCATTTTCCATCCTTCCCAGCCCTCCCCCACACTGCCTCCTGCACACCCACAGAGGGGAGGAGAAATAGAAGTATGAATATAGTTCTCCACGGAGTCCCTTTCATATCAATTAATTAGTCCACCAAATGCCAATAAATTACTATCATAAAATGTGTGTCTACATAGGCAAATGTCTACAAGTTAGTCCGGCTTTTTTCCTTTGCCCCCTCTCTGGCTGGCAGCTTCAGATCAAAAGCCTCTGATGGTTCCAGAGAGGCCTCATGGGACCACGGGGGCCACATAGTTGGCAGGAAAGAGGCCCAGTTTATTGTGCAGACGGCCAGTCCACCAGGACGGGTGGGCGTTATCCAAGACCTCAACCATCTCTCCACTGCGGAATCCCAGTTCATCGTCCTCAAGGGCCTCAAAGTCGTACAGTGCTCGGGCCCACCGCACACGCTGTTGGGAGGGAAAACACAGGTTAGCCTGAGTCAGGGGCTGGCTGGTATCTCCTTTGAAGCCCCCAAGATACAGAAGAGGACTTGCTGGCTGCTTATACCATCGTCAAGTCCTCCAAGAGCAGCTCTCCCTGAAGACTGACTTGTGGCCTTTGGTTTCCAGCTTAAAGTAAGGCCAGACTGCTGAAAGTGCCCAGCATTCACCAGAGTTATTCTTGAGACTCCAGACTTTTACCAACAGAGATGCTATTCTCCAAGTCCCCAAGAGAATCCTTGAGAATGACTCTCTGCATCAATATGTGGCACTTTTAATTTTCTTCAAGTGATAGACTGGCAATGTGCCCAAATTTACAGCCTTCGGTGTTAGCACAACTGAGTGGAGATGGGCCACACTATAAAGGTAAAACAGCTCTCTCAGCACAAGAACTAGAGCCAAGGGAGGTGAGAGCAGAGCCTGGCCCCACAACCAAACTGAAAAGGGCAGACGGGAAGGTGCTAGGCTGGGGGCAGCCCAGCTCCAGAACTCTCTTCCTGACTTTACTCCTGGTTCCCTCCCGCTCTACTGTGATCCCTGCACAGTTTGAGGCCTCTCCCAGGAGACCATCTATTTCTTCTCATTCCCCATCTTATCTTTTTGTTGAGTTCTGCCTCCCTGACCTTCTCCCAGGGAGCCAGCCCTGAGGGGGAAGTTCACATACCCCTGCCACCTGGAGTTGTACGGGATCTGTGTGTCTCCGGTGCATGAGGGCAGCATTCATTTCGCAGCCCACGCCCAAGCCACTGTGCCCATCGTTTATGTCGAGGCTACCTCCACGACGATCCTAGAAACAGGCAATAGAGGATCCATCACACTCGGAAAGAAGCATCTTGCATACCTCTTGGCACTTTGCTCGGAAGCCATGGGCACAGCCAGGATTCTGGGAATACTTGCTGAGGGTCATAATAAACCTCAGGTATTGCAGAGAGCAAGGAGCCCTGATGGTACTCAGCTGCTGACTGAAAGGTTGGAGGCTTGAACCCACCAGTGGCTCTGGCGTTTGATTTCCAGGAAGGTTGCTGCTGTTGCTGTTAAGTGCCATTGAGTAGGTTTTAACTCATAGTGACCCTGTATAGGGTCACTGAGGAGCAGCTGGTGGATTTGAACCACTGACCTTGCAGTTAGCAGTCCAGCACCACATCAGGACCCCTCCATAAAGAGATTGTTAAGTGTCGTTGAGTTGATTCCGACTCATAGCGTTTATAGGGTTTCCTGGGAGCCAATAGTGAATACAGCTCAGGAAACCCTTGGAGGAAGTTGTGCTGTATCATAGAAGGTCACTAAGAGTCAGAAGGAGCTCACCAGCATCTAACAACAACAATGGAGTGAGCATTGCTGGTTGAGCCAGATAATTTCCACCTTCAACGTGTGAGATCTGGGTTTGATTCTGGGTCAATGAGCCTCATGTGCACCTTCTGTCAGTGGAGTCTGGTGTGTTGCTATGATGCTAAACAGATTTAATCAGCTCTTCCAGACTCAAGGTAAGACTAGGAAGAAAGGTCTGACAATCTACTTCCAAAGACCAGTTAATGAAAAGCCTATGGATCAATTGGTCTCACTGAATTGCACATATGAAACATTAGCAAATGCTGCATTACCTATATTTTTACAACAACTGAAAAAAAAGTCTATAAGTCTGTGGATCACAGTGGTCCAATCTTCGCTCCAATACAGGACTGGTGCCAGTCTGAGGAGCATTTTGTTTCATTGTGCATGGGATTGCCATGAATTGGGGGCCAACTCAATGGTCATTAACCACAGAGAGACAAAAAAAAAAAAAAAAAAAAAAATGGGCAAAGGGACCTTAGATTCGGAAGGCACAGATGCTGGTGGGCTTCATGTAGTCAACCAAGAATGACTGAACAGGCTCCTGCCATGATCAGGGATTTGTTGGAAAGATCAGATCCCTGTTTTCACAGAGTTTCAGTTTGGAGGGTGAAACCCATAAGGTATGTGCTGAGTGTTCTAGTAAGCAGAGAGGAATACCCATGTCAGCCTGGGTAATCCAGGAAGGCCTCACAGAGGATGTGGTGCTTGAACCTAAGCTTCTCGGACTGGCATTTCAGGTAGAAGGAACGGGCATATACAAACCCACAAAGGCATGAGGGAAAACAGACAGTGGACCACTCAGGGAACTAAAGGAAGTGCATTGTGACTGGTAAGTGTATTTGTGACGGGGCTGTGGGAAGTGGGGAGTAGCAGGCAATAATGCTATGGCAACAGCTCACCCAGGAATTTCTATGCCTGGCTAGGGAATTTAGCAATGATGTTATCTGGTTGCATTGCCCATCTCTGTAAACCACCTAAAAGCCCTTTTGGAACAAGGTCAGGGGATAAATAAATAAATAAGTTAAGACGTCATGGAGGGTGTTAATCCTTTTTTGTATGTGGATCCTCATAGCCACATGGGTTAAGGGGCATGAATAGATTTGGAATTGTGCTGATAGAAAAGCAAATTGTTTGCTGAGTCAATCAGGATAAGTGTGTGTGTGTTTTCAGGTAGGCAGCCATTGAATTCAGAGATTAGTTTGCTAAGGGTGGCTTCCATATTTCTACCATTTTGGGGGCCCAGGGTCTTCTTTGTGAACTCTGTAAGTGACCAGATTTAATGAGATTAGATAAGGCCTGGGATACGCCTTCCCTAACAGCAACTCCTGGACCACAACAGACCCCAAGATTTCTTTGCTAAGATTTTCCAGCACTGGGGGACGTTTTTGAAAACATTAAGTGGCAGTGGGGATCAGGTGGCCTGGTCAGGGAGGATGGCAGGTCTCCCTCCCCACTTCATTGTGTTCCACTTTCTACTCTGGAAATACCGGAAGAAAATGATGATGCTGTAGGTACCGCGGCTGCGGCTGCTGCGTGGCGGAGGGATACTGCGGAGGAGGCTGCTGATGCTGATGGAACCGCTTGGAGAGGGAAGGCGGGTGATCCGACAGCTTGCGGTTCATCGAGGGTCGGATTTCTTCTCCCACTGCCCCACTGAGGTGTGGGCCTCCCTGCGGCCTCCGGTCCAGGCTATTGCCCCGGTGACCCTGGGAGAAAGAACGAAGATGATGTGAACCTGTCCTCCCTTGGATCTCCTGCTCCTACCCCGATTTTGGGCAGTTATTCCTTGATTTTACTCACCACAGATGCTAGGGTAGGGGCAGTGCAAGAGAATGGATGGGTCAGACCCTGACTTTTTCAAAAGTGGCCTCTGCTTTCTCAGCGTCTCCTAGCTTTGGGAGTTTAGGTTCACAGGCGATCGCGTTCCACCTGGGGCCCATTTATTCTTTCCGAACAGGCTTGTTTTCCTCTGTGTAACCAAGCTTGAATATTCTATTTTACTGACATAATGCCACCCCTTCTTATCGTGTGTTGCCACGCCGCTGGACACACCACCCTCCAGATAAGCTCTGTTATTGACTTTGCATGATTTTGAACTGTCATTTATAGCTTGGTGACAGAGCCCCACACAGCCTGTTGTCACGGCACCATGGAAACCAGGCCTGCCGCGGGGCAGCCTGGGAAAGAACTAGTCACTTTCCGCTTGCTCGCACAGCCTCGTGAATCAGAAAAGCTTTCCTGTTGTTTTTACTGAACAAACACTGCTTACTAGAGGCCCTGGGCCTAATATGTGCCAGGCACTGTCCTAAGCACCTCACAAATATGAAGTCACTTAATCCAGTTTAATGCGGTCTCTTGCTGCCTTTCGTATAGCTGAATGCACTTCCTAGTAAACTAATCCGGTGATCCGTTTCCTGGTTCAAAGAATTCACAAAGCCTGCGGTAACCGTTGTTTTCTTTTTTGAACTTTTGTGTGAGCTTGGTGGGAACACCCTTTTCTCTTTTGCTTCTAACTTCCCAGACTTCAAATCTGTGAATTACCTGAGGAGGGAGGGACTCGTAAGGTTCCTCAAAGCATGTCGTTTCCAATGTCTCACTGGCTTCTCAAATAACTTGATTAGCCATGTTATTCCCTTTAAAGATACTTTATAAACTGTGTGTATATTTACTTATGGGAGGTAAGTTAGTGACTCCTGGGAACCAGCGAAAACATTGGTGGTCCGTCCAGTGGCAGAATTCTCCCTTTCATGTTGGAGACTCCATTTGGTCCCTGGCACCGTACCTGACATGCAGCCAGACCCATCTGTCGGTGGAGGCTTGGGTGCTGCTGTGATGCTGACTGGGTGTTAGTGAAATGTCCAGACTAAGACAGACTAGGAGGAAAGGACTGGTAATTTACTTCCAAAAATTTAGCCAATGGAAAGCCTATGGACCAAACAACTCAATGGGTCTGGTACAGGATTTTGCAGCATTTTGTTTCATTGTGCTTGGGGTCCTCCTAGTTGAATGATCCTCATGACTTGATGTGAGCTAACAGTTCTAAGAGCAAGAATTCCAGGTGCAATTTTTCTCCTCCAGTGCCCCCAACCCCCAGTCGCCATCACCTCATCTCTGTCACAGAACTCTATCTGTTTAGACTTTTAGGTTGCTCTCAAATATCGATCTGTAAACCCTGCCCACCCCTACTGTCCCTTTATCCACAGTCAGCTCCTGAATCCAGGCTGGAAGCTATAACAAAACAGTGTTGTTGTTGTGTGCCGTGGAGTTGACTCTAATTCAGAGAGACCCTATAGGTCACACAGTAGAACTGCTCCATAGGTTTCTAGGAGTTCTGATGTGCGATGAACAATGGACTGCTAACTGAAAAGTTGGTGTTTCAAACCCACCAGTCGCTTCTTGGAAACCCTATACAGGGTCTCTGTGATTTGGAATTGATTTGATGGCACTTTAACAACTATTTTTTTACAGGAAGGGGCTCTAGTGGTACAGTTAAGTACCTGGATGCTAAGTAAAAGTAGATAGTTCAAACCCACCAACCACTCCATGGGAGAAAGATGTGGCAGTCTGCTTCTGTAAAGATTGACAGCCTTGGAAACCCTATGGGGCAGTCTTCTCAGTCCTCTAGGCTTGCTGTGAGTAGGAATTGATTCTACAGCAGTGGGTTTATTTAATGTTTATGGGAGCAGATCACTCACTGAGCCTCCTTAACAAAATAACAGCATCCCCAATAAGAAAAAATGCACTGAGTGCTTATGGCATGATTAAGAAGGATGCCAGGGATGGGGGAACATCTTCTCCAACTGTCATCAGTACCCTGCAAGGTGGGTATCTCTATTATCACTATAATTATTGTAATGGGTAAAGAAACTGAGTGTCAGAGAACTTTCTAGAGTCCCGTGACTTGGAAGGTGAAGCTAGTGTTTAAGCTGAGACCTGTCTGACTTGAGCGATTCTGCTTTTCCGGATACCTTGAGGACAGGCCCCTCAAATGCTTGTACTTGGGGACTCATGTAGCCTCCACTAGCGTACCTGATCCTCTCGGCTTCTATCTCTTAGGAAGATCTGCTTCTGCTTGGAGATGGACGTAGTCCGGTAGAAGTCCACCAGCTTGTTTAGGGATGGAAACTTCTCTGTCCACAGGAAGTAATTTCCCTTGTTGTCCCGCATGACCTTGAAGTGCTGCACGTCATCTTCGTGCCTAGAAAGCAAACAAATCCAGAATGTACTTTGCACAGCGAGAGCGCCCCATCTCCAGGGCTCCCGGCATATCCTTAGATGGTGGGTGGGCTGTTTCAGTCCAGCTGTAGCAGGAAGTTTGTGGGAAGGATTTCTCAGGACACAGGTTACTCTAAACCCGTTGTTGTGGACTCTCACTGCTCTATATCCACAGCCATCAGGTCAGTCGGTCCAGACTCATAGTGACACTGTATAGGGTTTTCAAGGCTGTAAATCTTTATGGGAGCAAGATGCCTCATTTTTCTCCCTTGGAGTGGCTGGTGGGTTTGAACTTGCTGTTAGCAGTCCGCTGCTTATCCTACAGTACCACTAGAGCTCCTATATAGCTACCCTATGTTGTTGTGTACTGTCGAGTTGGTTCCGACTCACAGGGTTTTTGAGAGTGGTTGGTGGGTTTGAACTGCCAACCTTGCGGTTACTAATCCAGTGCTCATTCTACCATGCCAGAGTAAAACAGAGCAGAACTGCTTGTAGGGTTTCCAAACTTCTAATCTTGACAGAAGCAGACTGCCACATCTTTCATCTGTGCATTGGCTGGTGGGTTCAAACTACTAACCTTTTGGTTAGCAGCCAAGCGTGTCACCACTGTGCCACCAGGATGCCTTCAGTTTACTCTAGAGGGGACTTTTATGTCAGCAGAAGGCAATTATATGAGCTGGACAATGTCCAGGACTCTAAAGCCAATCTCTTACAGGAAAAAAAAAAAAAAAGTTCCGGTACCTCAGGCACAAAGAAAAGTCCCTGGGAAGTCCAAATGTACGATAAGCACTGGACTGCAAACCACAGGCTGGCAGTTGGACCCCACCAGTCGCTTCAGGGGAGAAAGATGAAGCATTCTGCTCCTGTAAAGATGAACAGCCTTGGTAACCTTATACAGGGTAACTATGAGTTGGAACCAACTTGACGGCACTTAACACCAATAACAACAACTAATATGAAGAGCTGCAGAAGAAAGCCTTGGCAATCTAATGATTAAAGCCAAGAATACTCCTCTATGGAGCAGTTCTGCTAGGTAACAACAGGTTGCCAGGAGTCAGAATCGACTTGATGATAAGAAGTTTTATTTTTTGGTTTTAAGGACTAAATGGTCAAGGCCCTTTTTAAAAAAAAAAATTTTTTTTTTATTTTACAAAGTGAATTTGAAACATCCTGTCATCTGTTAATGACTCCATCAAGACTCCGATGGAAAGATTCTGCAAGCCCATTATCTCTTAGCGCCATCCCCTTTAAGCCCATAAAGTAGTACCACGTGGTGAGAAGGAGCCCTGGGGGCACAGTGGTTAAGCTCTCAGCTGCTAACCAAAAGGTTTGCAGTTTGAATGGACCTAGCAGCTCTGTGGTTGTTCCATAAAGAACGTAGCCTTGAAGACCCACTGGGGCAGTCAAACTCTGTGTTCTAGGAACGTTGTTGTTCAGAACATGATGGAAATTGACTCAATGACAGTAGTTTTCATTTGGATGTTGCTGTTATAAAGTACTATGGAGTCGGTTCCGACTCATAGTGAGCTTGTATAGGGTCTCCTAGGCTTTTAAATCTTTTCAGGAGCAGAAAGCCTTATTCTTCTCCCATGGAGTGTCTGGTGGGCTCAAACCTCCAACCTTGTGATTTGTAGTCCAGTGCTTATAGTATGGAAGTGGTAAGAAAGTACCCTCTTTCCTGAAAAATGTCACATTTTCTTCTCTTGGTTTGGTTTATGTTTTGTATAAATAAAGTCACAAAGTGTTTCAAGCTTTTTGGAAAAAAATAAACCTATTAAACAGAAATGTCTAGAAAAACATGTTATATCAAGTTTTACCTCAGAAGTTCTTTAGCATAATATATATATTAAGTTTTTATTGTGAATTGAGTGATAGTTTACATGGGAGAACATTGGTTTTGCCCTCTTATGATAGTATTTCATTTCATTGCAATGACTAAAATCCCCTTGGCATCATCACTCAACAGTATTTGCTTCTATTCACTCTGTTTTTTGTTTGGATGTACACAAAAATACTCAGGAATATATAATCATTTAAACAACCAAAGAGCACATTCTACAAGTCTGCCTCCGGGCCTCCAGCACTAACATATATTTTACAGATGAGGACACTGAGGCTCAGGGAAGTGTGGAGACTGGATCAAGTTTATTATGAATGATAGGCAGCTCTGAGAAGGAACCCCAGGTCTCTGATTCCAGTTCAGTGAATTTGGCCTGTGAAACCATTTAAACATGTAACAGGAGTCCTGGTGTGGTGCTGTAGGATAAATACTGGACTGCTAACCATAAGGTCAAGGAGCTCTGGTAGCGTAGTGGTTATGAATCAGGCTGTGAGCCACAAGGTCAGCAGTTGGAAACTACCAGCTGTTCTGTGGGAGAAAGATGAGGCTTTCTGCTCCTGTAAAGATTTATAGCCTCGGAAACCTTGTACAGGGTTGCTATGAGTTGGAACTGACTCCATGGCACATCACAGCAATAACAACTATAAGGTCGGCTGTTCAAACCCACCAGCAGCTCCTTGGAAACCTTCTGCCGGGTCGTGATGAGTCGGAACCTACTCGATGGTACTTAACAACAAAAACAAACAGTAAACACAGGGGGTGTGGTGCCTCTGTAGAGTAAGCACTTCACTGTGAACCACAAGGTTGGTGGTTCAGGCTCATCAGCTGCTCCTTGGGAGAAGATGAGGCTTTCTGCTCCCATAAAGATTTACAGCCTTGGAAACCCTGTACAGGATTGCTGAGTTAGAACTGACTTAGTGACACTTAACAAAAACAACAATGAACATAACCTCAAAGTTGGGGTTTCAAGCCCACCTAAAGGTACCCCTAAGAACAAACCCGGAGATCTACATCTAAAAATCCAGCCATCAAAAATGCTATGGAGCACAATTCTACTGTGACACATATGCAAGGTGCCATGAAGCCAAATTAATTGGACAGCAACTTTTAATTTAATTTGATTTCTTTTAGATCAGCACTTTTTGATGTCAGTCTGGACTCAGAAATGATGGGCCCATGTATAGCAAGGAAGGAGAAATTGGATTTTATCCATCTGGAAAGGGGGCAGTGGGGTCTGATCCTTTCGGTTAGCTTCAGTCTTACCCCATCACTGCTAAGCCATTCTCTTTTAGATATGAAATTTACTTTTCCAACAGAGATTTCTATCTTCAAATGATAGCACCAATTGTATCAATTGGCTGGTCCACTAGAAAGACCAGGAATTTAAGGCATCTTGGAGAATAATGATCCCTTAGAAAATCAGTGGAAGTTTCTTAGGAATGATTTCAATGGTTCTTCTTCAGAAGGGGATAAAATTCCCAACTTCAGTCTCATGGGCTGGACTCTGCGCACAGCCGGGTGAAACCCAAGGTCGTAGTAACCTTCTCTGAGTTACCTGCTGTGGGAATGATCTGAACATTACCATCCCTGCATATTCTTCCCCTTGGAGTTTGGCTTCTTCACTCTAAGACCACATGACTCAGCTCATAATCATTACATAATCACATTTGTATGATATTATGAGTATTCATTCCCTGCCATTTACTCAAAGAACGCAGAGTGCAAAACATTAACGCTTTCACACTCCCAGACTGCAAAGATTGATGCCAGGGTGCACTTGGACCCCTGGGCCTATATAGTGAGAACAACTTGACCATTGTTTCAAGCCCTGAGAGGAAAAGAGAAAAGGAGGAAATCCAGAGCTCCAGACTCTGAGATCTATTGTTTCACATACCTAACAAATGTGAAGTGATGGAGCTACAATTAGCTCTTAATTATCTGTGCTCAGGACAGAAACAGATGTATAAATAAATAAAAATGATTTTGCTTTGGAATACATTATGCTACATTTCTGCAGAAGATGCAATATAATGATTATGATAATAATCACTATAATAAGAAGTTGCATTGCCTCAATACCAGGGGAAATTTTTGGCAGAAACAAAGCTGGTTGTTTTGTAGAATTCTCTTTAATCAAGAAACAGAAGCCAGAATTCGTAGTTGAAAAAGCCATAGTCAAATCTGCACAATCCAAAGGTACCAAGAGATACCTTTCTGTCTAAAGATTTACTTTGACTGCTTCATCATCTGGGCCCTTAAGAAATAGATTCGAATTGTGAGATTTCTTAACAGAGCCAAATTTTCATTTATGAATACTTAACATGTTTAGAATTTGTGATGCATCAATATTGGTTTGAGCTAAAGCTTACCACTGCCTGAGGTGTGAAAATGAAAGTTTGAATTAAAAATCATTATGGGTTTAAGCAAAATTGCAAGGGCAATGCCCAAAAGACAAAACGACATCCAAGCACTTTAAAGGCACCAAGAAAACCAAACCAAAGAACCAAAACAAACCCAACCCAGTTTCCACTGAGTCTGTTCCAAGTCATGGTGACCCTATGTGTGCAGAGTAACACGTGTGTGCTCCATGGGGTTTTCAAGGCTGTGACCTTTTGGAAGTAGATTGCCAGGTCTTTCTTCAGAGGTTCTTCAGGGTGGGTTCAAACTGCCAACCTTTTAGATAGTAGTTGAATGCTTAATCCTTTGTGCCACCCAGAAACTTGCAGGTACTTACCAATGGTTGTAAACATTTGTAAGTTACTAGTCCTGGTGTGATGCTGTAGGTTAATGCACTGGACTACACGGTTGGTTTGGACTGCAAGGTGGGAAGTTCAAGCTCAGCAGCTGCTCCTTGGAAACGCTATACAGGGTTGCTATGAGTCGGAATCAACTCGGTGGCAAACAACAACAACAACAACAGCAACAATTTCTGGTACAGTAAGATAAGCACTGGCCAGCAAGGTCAATTTGAACTGCAAGGTGGCAGTTCAAATACACCAGCCAATCCTTGGAGACCATATTTAGGGTCACTATGAGTTGGAACCGACTCAACGGCACCTAACGACAACAAATTTGTAAAATATTCATTCTTTTTAAATTGTAAAGTTTCCACAGTTTATCATGCAAGATGGGATTTATGTACTTGAAGTAATAAAGCCGCATGTATGTCCTTCAAATATGAAAGAATCCAGACCTGGGATTTCTGTCAAAGTCATTTGAATTGCAAGGTCGGTGGTTCAAGGTCACACCAGCTGCTCCTTGGAAATCCTACACAGGGTCGCTATGGGTCAGAAACGACTCGATGGCATTAAACAACAACGACAACAAGGTTTTACTGTGTGAGTTGTTATGTACTTGGCTCCACTGCCATTGGCATTATTTCCTGCATCATCAAATGTGGTCACCATGTTTGATGGGTGACTTGCAATCTCCGACATGCTGACCACAGGCCGAGGTTGTTCCAACTGGGGGCTTCTGAGTATGAGGTTGTGTAATGCTGATGTGGGGCCTGAGTCACTTCCTGCTGGCTGCTGCCAGCCCCAGGATTGGTTGTTAGAATCCTTGAACGCCCAGCACATCCCATTGTTCTCAGTTTTCCTGCATCGTACCTTGTTAAGGAAGCTCTTCAGCCCTAATGATTGTTTAGCCACTTATAACTATACAATGACTACTTGGGAATTCCATATTTCTAGAACCCTCTCTTTAGACATACAGCAGTACTAGAAGAAAAGGTGAAGACTGACACCCCAAGAGAGATGGGTACAACTAACTGGGAGATCCTCTTTCCTCCCCTCCCTCCTCCCTTCTACAAATACTCACTCAGTAGCTACTGTATGCAAAGCACAGAGATGACCTCAATAAAAAAAAACCCTCCTTCCAGGAGCACCAGAATTAGTCTGAGAGGGGATGAGTGTACAAACAATCTTGAACACAAACAATGGGCTAAGGGGTCATACGCAAGTGTCACAGGAAGAAAACACAGCAGATAAGATAGCTAGCCCTTTGTTGTCCCTTGTTTCCTTGGTCACATTATAGCTGTCACCTCATGGCTTTAGTTGGCTGGGCAGTTAGCAGCTGAGCAGGGCAGCCCAGGATCAGGCAGGGTTGGTACCTGACAGAGATGGAGAAGTCTCCTGGAGAACTCTGACTGGCTCGGATGATGAAGAAGCCAACCTCTTTGCCCATGAGTAAGTTCTCAGCCTGGTGTCTTGAGAGGCCTTCATGAAACCATCTGTTGGGTGAGATGAAACCAGAAGACCTTGGTGAGATAGGTGAGTGATCCTGAACCCAAACACCCAAACCAGTTGCTGTGGAGTCAAGTTTGACTCATGGCCACCCTGTGTGTAACAGAGTAGAACTGTACGCCATAGGACCTTCAATGACTGAATTTTTAGAAGTAGATCACCAGGCCTGTCTTCTGAGGAGCTTCCCAGTGGACTTGAACCACCAACCTTTTAGTGAGTAGTCAAGAGCTAACCGTTTGTGCCATCCACCACCCTCTATGAGTAATGTGTTTGTTGGATGCTGTTTATTTGATTCGAGTAGAACTGCTTCATAGTGTTGAAACCCTATTCAGGGTCTCTATGAGTTGAAACAGACTCCAAGGCACACCACCACCACCACCACCACCAATCTTATGGAGGCAGGCAGCCATATCTTTCTCCCCAGAAGCAGATGGTGGGTTCGAAGCACCTTTCTTTCAATTACCCCATCAGGGATCCTTGTACAAGTGATAGAATGGGGAAATGAAGGAGAGATGACCCAAAGGGAGAGAGTTGGGCCCTGTCCAAAGAGAGGAGAGGGACAAAGGGGAGTCAGGTGCCTTTGAAATGCAAGTTCCAGGCAAGTATACATCTCCTTGATTCATGCTCTTTGCTCTTTCCCACCAGCAGAAGTCTCTCTCCAGCTTGGAAAACCACATGGACATGTGCCATTGCACCAAAATGGGGCAGTGTGGGAGAGGTTCACTGCAGGAAGCAGCCCCCAGCTAGCAGCTGAGTGAGGGAACTGCAGGCAGGGAGGGAGTGGTCATCTCAGGTGGGACCATGGAGTCCCAACCAGGCAGGTTCCTCCTAGGCTGAGATCTTAGTTGACTGAAGACTCCTCCTGGGAAACTGGAGCCCTAGGGGCCTGCTCTGTGTTCCCAGCTCCCAGGGATCTCTGAACTTGCGCTTGGAAATGAGTGGGGCCAGTAGCAGCCAGGAAGGCTTCTGGATGGTGCAAACAGTTTGCTGCTCTTAGCTGTGAACCAAAGGGTTGGCTGCGATCCATTCAGCAGCAGCACAGAAGAAAGTCCTGGTAATCTGATTCCATCTGACACACACGGGTTCACTATGAGTCAGAATCAGTTCAATGGCACCAGGTTAAATTTTTTCATTTTCTTTCTGGCAGCCCAAGAGCAGCATCTACATAGCAGACTCCTTGGCCCTCCCAAATACTACAGGCTAGGAAGCCAACCTTACTATGGAAAACAAGAATCTGAGGGATCTTTCTGATACTGTTCTTTCAGGAGTGGGGTCAGGGTGGCAGCCACCGACAGCATGGCATGTCTTCAAAAGGCCAAACACTCACACATGGGCCACGCTACTGCCTGGGGTGGGATGCCAGATACTTCTGTTAGTCACAGAAAAATGACGTGAGCATTTGCAGTTCCTCAGCTGACAAAGATGGATTGTCACCTACTCTAACTGCTGGAAGACCAGTCTGATAGGGTCCATTCTGAGCATTTCCTGGCACTGCCTAGAGTCAGAAATCTGACGCTGAGATGGGTGGCAGGAGGGGCGCACTTGTTGTAGACCCGGGTCCGTAGGGGGGCGTGTTTTCTCCCGAGGCTGAGAAAAGGGGTTTCTGGTTGTGGCCACACAACACTGCCTTATGTAGGAGATGTAATGAGGTTGGGGAAAGGGATGGAGCAGGTTTGACAGCAGTCACATCCCAAAGGCGATATTTTAGAAAATTCATCAATCAGAGGGAGGATGTTTAGAAAATACACATTGCCCTCCGACTGGAATTTGATAAGTGACTTCTTTGAGGACTTGCTAAGATTTCTACCCCCTACATATTAGGTCTGAGAGGCCAGGGTTTGAATATTACATGCCATTCAAGAGCTATTCATTCATCCATTCAATAGGTATTAATTGAACAGCAACCTTTGGAGCACAGCAGAATATTTTTTTCTGACTCATTTGCTTTGGATCATTGTGGGAGGAGGACGTTATGTGAGGTCAAGTGAAGGGCCAACAAGGGTGTGGGAGAGCCCAGGTGAAATGGATTGGCACAATGGCCTCCATGATGAACTTGACCTTGGAGGCAATAGTGTGGACAGTGCAGGCCGCGGTAATGTCTTGCTGTGTTGTACACAAGGTAACCATGAATTGGAGTTGATTCAATGACAACCAACAACAGCGTCTACTGTGTGCTGAGTCTGCTTCTAAGTGTCAGGGGTATAGCAGTGAACAGAACAGCCAAGAACCTCCACCCCACCCTTGTGGAACTTGTATTCTCAAAGTGAAAGGCAGACAATAAACAACAAAATTCTTAAAATATGTAGTAAGTCAGATGATGATAAGGGTTGTGGAGAAAATGAAAATGAAGAGGAGGAACAAGGAACGAGGAGGTAGGGGAAAAATTTAAAATAGGGTGAATGGGCCAGGCCTCACTGAAGAGGGATATTCTAAACCTAAAGGAGATGAGAAGGAACCAGTAAAGAAAACAGAGGAGGAGAAGCCAGAGTGGTGGGATAAGAGCCAGGAGAGAATGTGTCCCAGAAGTCAAATGAAGAAATCACTTGGAGGGAGAGGTCCTCCAAGTGAAATCCTGATGAGACAGTGACAGCTGGACTTGTAGTTCACCTTGACCTTGACTAGAAAGGTTCTGGTGGAGTTATGGAGCTTCAAGAGCAAATGGCAAGAGAGGTGATGGAGGCAGCCAGTGCAAACAATTCTTCTGAAACGAATTGGTGGCTGGAAGGTGATTTGGGACCAGAAGTTTCTTTGATTTGTTGTTTGTTTTTTTTTAAACGGGAGAAATTGTAGCATATTTGTTTGCTGCTGGGAATTATCCAGCAGAGAGGGAAAGAAAGTTTATGCAGGAGAAAGAGGGAAATTTTCTGCTAGGAGCAAAGACAGCTCATCCAAACAGCTGCAGGAAAGGCGGAGTGTCTGAGCGCAGTTGCAGGAGGTGGGTGGATGTGGTGGGTGGGTGGGGGAATAGGGACACTTCTCTTTTGGTGGTTTAAGCAAGGCCACCAGCTGAGAGTGAGGAGGAGATGAAGGCTTGAGGAGTGAAGAAGACATAGCAACAGGCCATCTAGAAGACTAGGAGAGCAGGCAGGCAGGATTGCCAGGCAGCCTGATGGCCCCACTCAAAGTCAGTGGTCAGTACTGGTCAAGGGCATGACTGGCTCACAAACACTGGTGTTACTGAATGGTAGACAGCAATACCACTTTGGTTTCCTACCAAACCTTGACTCTTTCGTCTAGAACTGGCTCTGAGATGAGGTCAGATTTCTATCTAACCCTTGTGGTCAATTCTTGAGACAAACAAGACCCAATCTCAAATTTTCATTTCCTCCGTAGCAAGGGAATTTCCCGTCTCCTTACTTTGACTTTTTTCATTTATGAACAGAGTTGGTTTTTGACGGCACGGATCATCCACGTGCCTGATTAAGAGCTAAGAGCTGCGTGGGAATTCCCCCCTTCCTCACCCCCCAGCTCAGGAGGCAAGGTAGGGTTGGCAGATAACAGAGAAAGGCCCTGAAGGGGCTTTTGCAGGGGCAATGACCAATTCTGTGACGTGACCACTGGAATTCTTGGAAACCCTGCGGTTTCAGTCATTATAGATGACATAATCCATAAGCTAAGTTGATAAGAAACCTTAAAATAGGCAATACCCACTCATGGTATACAGCTCAGAAGAGAATGCAGGGAAATCTGAATCTGCACCCCGCCCCACCCGACCCCTCTGGCCTTCAGCTGCGTGGTACCTCTCTAGAGGCAACCCTTTCTGACAGTGTCTTGTGTAGGCATTGATAATTTTATCTACTAACCAAAAAAGTAAGGGAGCGTGTGTGGGTAGGCCCATCTCCGTAGGCTGGAAATACTTACTCAGGAAATTGGATGTCTATAAAATTCTTGGGCACGTATCCTTCTTGGCTTCCTAGCTCCGCTTTGAACCACTCCTCTTGGTTGCTTAAGATCTACATGGAAGAGAATGAAGGATAATGATTTTGCAGGGAGGACTCTACAAGGCAAGGGCATGGAGATGAGGGGATGCCCTCTGGGGCTTGGATGCGGAGAAAAGTCATCTCAAGAAACTTAAGCAAGGATTCATCCCAGGTCTGGCAAGGGAGCAGTGGCCTCATCTTTGAGGTTTGGCTTCTTTTGACCCCAAACACTTTCTGTCCAGGTGTGCCATCCATTCATGACTTGACCTTTCCTGGCCTCAGGATTTAGGGTTTTCCCTGAACCCCTTTCTCCTTTTCTTTTGGAAATTCATCTGCACTTTCAGGTCCTCATCTGTGAAAATGGTGGGAAGGCAACAGTGCGTTCTCCGGCACCTCTCCTTCTCTGCCAGGTAATCAGGAAACTTTCAAAATGAATGATTTTTAATCAAGCAGTTTAAAACTTAACACATCCATGTGTGGGCTGGCTTTGAAAACTCTTGGTGTTCATATTTTTTGTGTTTCACAAATTGTTTGCATATAACTTTAGATACTTGGGAGTGCTTTTTTTTTATCTTGCTTTTAGAGTCAGATCACAAACAGACCAAGAAATTCTGTCTTTTTACTAGATGGTGCTACTTTGTGTCCCAAATGTTGTCACCTACAATGATGGCTCATATTATTCACCACACATGGCTCTAGGTAGCTTATGGTTATTTCCGAACATCAGATTCACTGTGAAAAGACAAGTAGTGACCATCTCCCCTACCCTGAGAATGTTCCTAAAATATGCACATGCCCAATTATTCTAAATGAGGATGTGAGCAAACATATGGAATGAACCTTGATGAGGTTGTAGAGTCACGGAATTAACCAGCCCAGGAACCCTCTTCCTTACTGTCTGTGTCATTTTTGATCTGATAACGAGGAAAAAGCAGAAGATAGGCAGGAAAGATGACCTGGAGGAGAGGTGATTATCTGGGTTGAAGTGCCCAGACAATGCAGAGAGTTTTCCAGGTGAAGTCTGATAGCAAATGAACCCCCACTAAAGCTAGAAGAAAGTGTGGTGCATTCTGGGCACCGTAGGCTGGAGATCACACTGGGAATGTAGGCATAGAGAGAGGAGACGCTAGAGGCAGAGCACTTTGTGACTCATATTGAAAAATTTGAATTTTACTGTGACATTGGGGGGAAGTCATTAAAGGATGTTTAAGCAGGGAACTAACACGGTAAGGATTAGATTGAAGTGTGAGTACTGTAGCAGAGCATCAGGATGACTTGGTGGGGCAAAGTTGGGGAGAATTGGTAGGAAGATGAGAGCAGTTATCCAAACAAGAAACAATGGGGGCTGGGCTAAGAAGAACCAAGGACATATTTTAGAGGAACTGGTTTGGTATAAGTGCTGGCTCAGTGGTAGCGTTCTTGCCTTCCATATGGGATGTTGTTGTTGTTATGTACCATGGAGTTGATTCCGACTCATAGTGACCCTGAACAGGGTTTCCGAGGCTGTAAATCTTTATGGGAGCAGAGATCCTCATCTTTCTCCCGTGGAACAGCTATTTGTTTCGAACTGCTGACCTTGAGGTTCACAGCCCGATTGGGATGTTGTTGTTGTTAAGTACTGTCGAGTCGGTTCCGACCCATAGCGACCCTGTACAGGGTTTCTGAGGCTGTTAATATTTACAGGAGCAGAAAGCCTCATCTTTCTCCCGCAGAACAGCTGGTAGTTTCGAACTGCTGACCTTGCGGTTCACAGCCCGATTCATAACCACTATGCTACCAGAGCTCTGATAGCCCGATTGGGATACCAGAGTTTAATTCCTGACCAATGCATGTTGCTAAGATGCCGAACAGGTTTCTGTGGAGCTTCCAGACTAATACAGACTAGAAGGAAAGACATGGTGATCTATTTGTGAAAAATCACCCATTTAAAACTGTATGGATCAAAATGATCTGAACTCATTGTTCATGGGGTTGCCGTGAGCTAAAGGCTGACCCAACTCAACAGAAGCCAACAGCAGAGGAGGTAAAGTTGGCAGGATTTGCTGATTGTTCATGGGAGATAAGGGAGAAGGGGGATTCTGGGAAGACTCTCGATCGAGTAGGAATCCTGGTGTTGCACTGTGGGTTAATGCACCAGACTGCAAAGCCATTTGAACTTCAAGGTCGGCAGTTCCAGCTCACCAGCGGCTCCTCGGAAACCCTATACAGGGTCGTTATAGATTGGAACTGATTCAATGGCACTTAACAACAACAACAAAGACTGAGTGCGCAGTGACACCTCTTACTAAAATAGGAAATTCAGGAAGAGGAACAGGTCTGAAAGAAAACTTGGGGACTTCAGATTGCATGTGACTGAATTTGAGTTGCTCATAGGACCGTGTAAGAAGAAATGCCCAGTGTGTGTCTAGACTCAGAAGGTCTGGTGTTTGGGATTTAGGAGTCATCCAAACATAGGTGGAATTGAAATCATGGGTTTTATAGTTTTCTCTCTGCTAGAGAGAGGATGGGAAGAGAATCGAAGAGAGTCACATAAATGAGATTCACTGCCACCGTGTCCTTGTTGGCTCATAGCAACTCTACAGGCCAGAGTAGAACTGTTCCATAGAGTTTCTTTATGGAAGAATCTATATGGAAGCAGATTGCCACATCTTTCTTCCTTGGAGTAACTGGCAGGTTTGAACTACCAACCTTTCAGTCAGCAGCTGGAGAAGCAACGATGACCTATTTCAAAAATTACTCCCAAGGTGGAGGAAAGGCTCAGAGCTATGAGTCTGGACTCAGAAGACGTGCTTTCTAACTTGACTCTTACTAGTCGTGGGACCTTGAATGAGTCAACGAACCATCTGGACAATGGAAATAGTGCGAATCCCTAGCACCACACAGAGCTGAGGATCAAATGAGTCTTGGCACATGAAAATCCTTCAGAAAGTATTTGCTCTTTTATATAATTTGGTAGAACGTGCCATTCTTATGAAAATGGTCTCCAGCTCTAAAAGACTTGGAAGTATTTATAAGCTCTTTCCAGTATTATATGTGTATGTTTGCAATTTAATCATTTGCTCTGAAGAAATAAAAGTGTGCCCCATATTTGAGTTCTAGAATCGCTGAGAACAGATAACTTTATAGTTTCTAAGATCAAATATGACTGTTGGTATCACAGAGGGTGTGTGGGTATGGGTATGCTGGAGGAGGAGGGGAAAGCAGAGAATCGAGGTCAAAAGAACTAGAAAATACAGCCCCGGGACCTTGTACTCATATAAAGAACACAAGAGCATTTCACTGTGCCATCTCTCCTTAATTTATGGTCTTGGAATTCCTTTCTCCCATCACATGGGGATGGGGTGTTTGACCAGTGCAGATGTCATATATGAAAGTCAGCGGGGAGGAGGTAGAGAAAGCCATTTGGAAATTGGCTTATCAGGTGACGACTATACTTTGTCCTCAGTTCTTTGACCTGAAAGCAGCTGTAATTTTAGTAATCATGGCTTCCACCCACCAGCCTCCTCTAGTAACGGCAAGATTATCGCACGATGTCGACCATTTCTCTCCACCACCTGGTGCTTGGCCTGCAGCTGAGCTGTTTCCAGAAAGTGGAATTTATAGGCTTTTTATGGTATATAGAAGGCAAAGCTTGTTTTTTTAAATGGCATTTTTTGCAAAGGAAAGTCTTTGGGGGGAGGGTGGGATGAATTGGTTTCTTCCTGCCGTTGCTTGCCCAGGGGCCCGCACTTCCTGTTCTTCTCATCTCTCCATCTATTCGGTTTCTCCTATCTCTGTGAGCATCGTGTATACCCGAGCAAAGAGTTCAGCAGAAATAAATGAAATTTTTGCACTGTAGTTTGCTGTGCCGTAATTCCTTACTTAGCCTGTCGACTAAGAGCCTCATCTTCTGGGTTGCGCTGCCTGAGAATAAGTTAAACGTGGGAAAAGGAAAGCTACATGTACGAGCGGAAGAATTTACAAATTGAATGGAATCTTAGTTTTCGGAGGCAGAGCAGAAATCTGAAGTACTGGAGTAGCTAATTATGTAGGATTAACTACAGGTGCTTTTAGAGCATTGATTTAGTAGGAAGAAATGGGGTCAGGCTAGGCACATTACAGAAACAGAAATGGACTAGGTCAAGAGGCAGTTTTCAAAACAACTTGTAAATTCAAATGGGTAATGAAGGCACGTGCTGGTGTGTGACTGCAGATAGGGAGATTTGTAACAGAAATAACAAAAGACAAATCTGTTGGTGACTTTTCAAATGTTTTTTTCACATGAGTTTGTGTCTCAGTCCACCATCTTGTTTACTATTCCCACAGCATTGAGTGAACAAGGAGCCTGGCTGGCGTTGGGCTGCAAACAGCAAGGTCAGCAGTTCAAATCCACCAGTCACTCTGCAGGAGAAAGATGAGGCTTTCTGCTCCCATAATGATTTACAGCCTCAGAAAATCCTTGCTACAAGTCGGAACCGACTCAATGGCACACCATGACCACGTGAGTACTTACTGTTGGTACATGGGTGCTGGGAACAAAGAGATGAATAAACTGGTGTCTTGGCCCAGGAGAGCTCACAATCTGGACAGCGAGTGGGTGGTTGGGGAGCTAGTCAGACCTTTTTTGTGCCTTCTGATGGAAAGCTCTATTTAATCTTTAGCACTGAAGGCAAGAGAAGAGACAAGAGCATCCCAGAAGTGAATTGCTGAGCCAATCAAGAGTAGGCTTTGAAAATAAGTGCATGGATCTGGGGGCATGTTATTCATCTCTGGAGGGGAGTGACAGATATCCAGTCTATACACAGGGAAGGAGGCACAGGCAGAGACACAAGCCACCATCAGACAGACATTCTGGGTGGCTCAGCCAAAATCCCCTCTCTATTTTCTCCTTACTGCTATAGCTACAATGGGCAGAATTTGAAAAGAAGGTGGAATTTGGCTCACTGATGGAATTCTTAAAAGCACACAGAAATGGGATTGAACAAGTCAAGAGCTATGAACTGAGTACCTATTTTGGGCCATGAGATGTCTTAGTCTCTGACAAGATACAAAGATGAAGCTGGCACGGCTCTGCTCACAAGGCACTTCTGACAAGTGGAGGCATCAACAATTCATCATCCGATATTAGGGAGGGTCAGCTTTGTGCCTCGTTACTGGTCTAAACACTGAGGCAGAGTAGCCAATGTGAATTAGAGTCCTCTCCTCGGGGTAAGAGCAGCAATGGGAAATGGATGGACAGGGCGCACAGAACCATGGAATTCCCATAAAGAACTGTCACTAAGGCAAAATGATAAGTGCCCTGAATGAAGTGTCTGTGAAATTCTGTGAAAGAGCTGACAAGAGAGTGACATTGTTGGGGCGGTTGGAAAGGGGGAGGATCAGTGAAGGACTCGTGGCTTACGTGTGTGTGTGTGTGTGTGTGCGTGCGTGTGTGTATGGAGGGCAAATAGAGTACAGGAAAGAGGTTGAGAAAGGATCATGTATACAGTGTATATATCACAGTGTGACCTGGGAGCATTAGGTATATAAGGGTGGGGTGCATGTGAACACATGTGTGCACCTGTGCAAAATGAGGTGGATACTGGGGTCAGATGGTTTAGATTTCAAACAATTGGTAATGGGACCCAATGAATGCTTTAGAACAAAGCAAGTGATAGAATCAGATTTATCTTCTAGAAAGATCCCTCTGGGAGTAGCATGCAGAAGAATGAAGGAAGGAGGAAGAGGCAGGAGACAATGAGGTTAGTCAAAGGTTGTGGCAATAGTTGGAACTATCGGAGGCAGCAGTCATGGGGCACATGATTGAGCACCCACTTTGGGCCAGTACAATTTCTTCTATTCCTTACCACAAGACTGCAAGATAGAGTCTACCTGTCTCCATAGATAGAGGAAGACTGATGCTCAGAGATGGGCAGGTGACTAGCCCAAGGCCACACAACTAATAAGAAAGGATTTGCATTTTGATCTATCTGGCTCCAAGTTCCTCTCTCCATTTTGGTGTACCACACTGCTTTCTAGTGAAGAAGGGGAACACACACACGTACACAGTTACTGTTGTTAGGTGTTGTAGAGTCAAGTTTTGACTTAGCAACTCTATGTGACAGTTGAACTGTCCTATGGGATTTTCTGGTGTGGCACTGTAGGATCAGCATTGGACTGTGAACCACAAGGTCGGCAGTTCAGATCCATCAGCGGCTCTTTGGAAATGCTATTCAGGATCAATATGAGTCAGAACTGACTTGAAGTTACTAACAACAACATAGGATGTTCTAGCCAAAAGGGAAGAACATGCTCAGCATTCCTCAAACTGGAAAAAAAACTAAAGAATAAATTCAGGCCTTGACTTGCAATATTGAAAGGCTCACTAGGCACTGGAGGAACTCCATCATCTAGCCCAAGAAATTGGGAAGACAGCGACCTGGACAACTGATTGGAAGAGATTCATATTTGTGCCCCTTCCAAAGAGAGGTAACCCAATGGAATGTGGAAGTCATCGGACAATATCATTAATATTTCATACAAGTAAAATTTTGCTAAAGATAATCCCAAAGTGGCTGCAAACGTATAGTGACAGAGAACTGTCAGAGGTTCAAGCTGGATTCTGACAAGGGTGTGGAATGAGGGATATCATTGCTGATGTCAGATCCATCTTGGCTGAAAGCAGAGATACCGGAAACAATACTTACCTGTGCTTTATTGACTGTGCAAAGGCCTTTGATTGTGTGGATCATGACAAGCTATGGACAACATTGTGGAAAAGGAGTATTCTGGAACGCTTAATTGTGCTCATGAGGAACCTGTTCATAGATCAAGAGGCAGTTGTTCCAACAGAACAAGGGAACACTGAATGGCTTAAAATTAGGAAAGATGTGTGCCAGGGTTGTATTCTTTCACCATATGTATTCAATCTGTAAACTGAGCAAATAATCCAAGAAGCTGGATTATATGAAGAAAAATATGGCATCAGGATTGGAGGAAGATTTATTAACAACGTGAGATATGCAGATGATACAAGCTTGCTTGCTGAAAGCGAAGACAACTTGAATACTCACAGACAAAGACCAAAGACCACAGCATTTGGTATGAGTTGCACCTCAATGTAAAGGAGACAAAAATCCTCACCACTGGACCAATAAACAGTATCCATATAAATGGAGAAAAGACTGAAGTTGTCAAAGACTTCATTTTGATCAGATTAACCATCAACATGTATGGAAGCAGTAGTCAAGAAATTAAACAATATATTGCATTAGGTAAATCTGCTGTACAAGACCTCTTTCAAGTGTTCAAGAGCAAAGATGTCATTTTGAGGACTAAGGTGCACCTGACCCAACCCATGATATTTTCAATAACCTCATAGGCATGTGAAAGTTGGACAGTGAATAAGGAAGACCATAGAAGAATTGATGCCTTTGGGCTATTGTGTTGGAGGAGAATATTAAATGTACCACGGACTGCCAAAAGAACAAACCAATCTGTGTTGGAAGATGTACAGCCAGAATGCTCCTTGGAAGCTAGGATGGCCAGACTTCGTCACTTATATTTTGGACATATTATCAGGAGGAACCTGTCCTTGGAGAAGGATATATTATGTTTGGTAAAGTGGAGGGTCGGAGAAGAGGAAGACCTCCAACAAACTGGATTGACACAGTTGCAGCAGCAATGAACTGAAACGTAACAACAATTCTTCGGACTCATAGTGACCCTTTTTTTATAGGTTTTATGAAGAGTGGCTGATGAGTTTGAAGCACCAACCTTGCAGTTCAAACCAACTTTGCAATCCAGTGCTTATCCTACAGTGCCACACCAGGACTCAGTTTTGCCAAGAGGATGAAAAATATTTAGCTGGGTTCTGGCCCCAAGCAGGCATTCAGGAGATGTTAGTTACTAATCACCAGGATTTGGCAAGGGAGAAATTGCTGATAACGGAGGCTTCTCACTGGGTAACTGACCTGTGGTCATACTTAGCACATGGATGGGGAGCAGTTGAGTGGAACTGGCATTAGATGGGGGCTTGGTTCTGATTCTAGACACCCTGAGTTAGGAGCTGGTATCCACATGGTGACATCCAGCAGACGTTTTGGAAAGTTGTTCTGGAGTTCAAGAGAGAGATCATAGCTGGAGCAAGATCCATAGACTTGAGGGTCTTTGGCACAGAGGTAAGAGGTAGAACCAGAGAATTGGATGAAGTGGCTTAGAGAGAGGATAAAATCGGAGAGCAGTGCCTTCAGGAAAGTTTCTATTTCAGGATAGAGAGACAAGAGAAGCACTTTCAAAAGAGACCCAGGTATTTTCAGGAAGAGAACCAAGAGAGTGTGGTACTGCTGGAGCAAGGGAGAAACGCCCCAAGTGGAGGGGCAGTTAATAGTCACATTCTACAGGCATTTTCGCAGGTTGAAGATGAAGGGGTTATTACATTTCACAAGAATGACATCACTGATGGAGTTTCAGAGAGTAGGTCAGAGAGAAGGCTGGCCCCAGAGGGCAGTGGGGGCTGCATGGGAAGTGGGTAGATAGGAACCTCCAGTAAAGAGCATTGTCCATAGTACAGGCAGTGAGGGAGAGAAAAGAAGTTAGAAGCTGGAGAGGGACATCAGCGCTGAACTAGAAATTAAGGTGGAGGATTGCTCCCAGTTTCTCTTGAGAAGAGGATGCTCTAGAGGGGCTGATAGAACACATGGCCACAGAGTCCCTACATGTGACCATTCCCTGTGGGACCTTGGTAAGATCCTAAAGCTGTGAAAGCCACCTTTCCCTGGGCCATCAGCAATCCAACTAGTGTTCTGACCTTGTGATGCTTCCACATTGAAGGGAAACTCTACAACCCTATTACAAGCGGAGGGTAGTTACAAGACTGAATGTCAGGGCTTTCAAATTCCAAAGCAAGTCATTCTGCAAGGATTTTGCTCTATGAACACTTTCTGAGTCACCCTTTCACATACCTAGAAGGGTCATACCATAGCAAGCATAACTCTTGGCGATGAGACATTTGTGATCTCAGTGCCTCCCGACAGTTGTGCTGCTGAGACCAGGGTTCAGGGGGATTCCCGGGTGCTCTGAAGATGGGTGGGGCACATTGGCACCATATGCTCTCTAATAGACTCTTGAAGGGCAATTGCTTTTTTTTTCTTTCAGCGAAACACAAGGATTAAGATGCAGAATCCCTAAGTGTTGTGCGTGAAATGTGGGAGAAGGACAAGTCCTCTTCAGCTGCACAAGTGGTCACTGCAACCCAAGTGCAAGTTGAAGAAGTCCTGAGGTTGTATGGCCTTAGTTGAGCCACCTCGCCTTCAGCTGCCATTTCCAGGCATCTCCAGCTCTACTGAACCAAGTACCATGCACTCTGAGTTCCCCATAACCTTTCACATCTCTGAGCTTTCGCTCATGCTGCTGCTGCTCTCTGGTCATCCCCAAAGCCCCTCTTATCTGCGTTGCATTCCCTGACACACTCAAGGGGAAATCACACGTTCCCTCACCTGGAGTCCTGGAATGATTAGAGAAGAACATCTGTAACAGTCTTCTGGATGAAGTTGTTTCCCCCTCCAGACCACAAGAATCTCAAGATAAGAATGGTGGCTTATTGGCACTTCTGCCTCCTTTGTATTTCCATCACCCTGCCTGCTGTCAGGCATACAGGTGCTCCTAAGGAACTCTTTAGATGAGAACCTCCACAGTACCCAACATTCTTGAAAAAGAACTGTGTGTTGTTCTTAAGAGACAAAGGCACGAACAGCTAGATTAACTCAGGGGCCACAATGGAGTTTCTGAAGCTCCCTATTGCTCCCCTGGGCCTTACATCACCTACCTTCATAACATCCCCAGAGTGAAAGCTCAGCTCGTCTTCACCGGAGGCGGTGAAATCAAACTTGGCGATGGCTTCCATGTTGTAGCGTGAAGCTGGAAGAGAAAGAATGTGGTCATTGTGTCTGTCTGCCGTGAGAATGGCAGTGGAGAAGGTGATGAGGCACAGCTGTCTTAGCAGTTCACAGGGGAGCGGTCAGATGTCTCCTCTGGAGAGGGCGATACAGGGTTTTTGTCTGTAGGAGGAGCTACCAGATCCTGTAGGATCCGGTTCCAGGGGTCACTCTCTGAATCCCTAGATGCTGGAACAGGAAATGCAGGCCAGTGAGAACCTTTCCTTTCTCCTTTCATCTCCCTGGGCCCATCCTGGCCTGCCCCCCTTACTAGGACATCTGTTTCCGGTTGATAAGGACAGAAGACTTGCTATCATCTCTCACTTGAGGCCCAAGGGGTTGGAAAGACTGTTCTGTAAACACTGTCCCTTGGCAGCTATATTTAACCAGGCAGTGTTAATTAGACAGATGCCATTTTCTCTTTTACATCTGAATCATTTAAGAGAATTAGACAGCCTCAGCCAGTGGGGAACCCAGTGTCCTTCTGCCTGACTTGAGAGCAGAATGTGTCTGGCCTTGGAGCTGGGAGTCTTGATTGGTCAGATTCCTTATTTTGATTATTTTAGTGAAGCCACGGACCTTTTGGGAATTTTGATTGATTTGAATTCTGAATTGAGTTAAAATACTGGCCTCTGATACCACGCCCTGGGAATGTGTAAGGAGAACTGAGTCAGTCCACATCCTTCAGATTTTTGTTGTTAAGTGCCACCGAGTTGGTACTAACTCATAGCGACCCTAGGTACAACAGAACAAAACACTGCCTGGTTCTGGGCTAACCTCACAATTGTTGCTATGCTTGAGCCCTATGCTACAGCTTTGCCAGTCCATCTTGCTGGGGTCGGGGTGGGGATCTTCCTCTTTTTCTCTGACCCTCCACCTTACCTTCAGATAATATGAGATATAGTTTTTTTTTTTTTTTTTTTTTTAGGAGTTGCTGGGGATGTAATGGTATTTCCTGGTGGTGCTAGTAGTTAAGTGCATGGCTGCTAACTGAAAGATTGGAGGTTCAAGTTCATCCAGAGAAATTTTTGGGAGAATGTTCAGATGATCTACTCTGGAAAACTGAGCCATTGAAAACCTATGGAGCACAGTTGTTCTACTCCGACACACTTGGGGTTGTCTTGAGTCAGAGTCGACTCGACAGCAACTAGAAATGGGGGGATGTAATTGAAAGAGAGCTGGATTGAGACCTGGTTTTGTCACTGAATAGCTGTGTGATCTTGGGCAAGTGATTAAACCTTCAGTTTCCTTATCTGTGAAATGGGAATCATAATGTTGTTGTTGTCAAATACCACCGAGTCAGTTCCAATTCATAGCAATCTTGTATAGGGTTTCCAAGGAGCAGCTGGTGGGTTTGAACTGCCAACCTTGCGCTTTGCAGGCCAGTGCTGATCCTACAGTGCCACACCAGGAGTCCATACCAGGAATCATAATGTTGTGAGATAAGACTAAATAGTCGATGCAAAGCAGCAGACCTGGTAAATATAATTCATGTTTTAAAGAATCATTTGAATCAACACATTTCACCTTAGCAAAGGTAGCTTGGCTTAAAGCTTCATGTCCTACAAACTTTTCTCATTGAAATTTGACACATCTTCTCTGTGACCATCAAATCCTTCCATTTATTGCTAAGACAGCTTTCTGTCAAGATACAATCTTGAACACTGTCATGTGACATTTATGTTTTTTTGGAATTTTCCTAAGTCCCAACCTTTTTAAGTTCTCACATCAAATTAAACTTTCAGTCATTCATGACATGAGGCCAACCTGGTCCTTGCATGGGGAATCTTGGTCCAAGAAGACAAGATGTGGGTAAATAAGGAAGGTGGTCCCAGAGAGAAGGGTGTGGGGTTTGGAGACGAGGGGATTAAAGTAGACTGAAATATCAGTGATAACCATGCCCTCGTTTCTTTGATTTTCCCTATTTTCTTGGCCTTCTAAAGGTAATTTGTAGCAATGAATATTAACAATCGCAAAAAGAAATAGGAAGAAAAAAACAAAACAAATCAGGAGCCAAAGTAAAATGTCATCGTTAAACTCTCAAAGCCTGGATTTATTTCCAAATAAGAGAAAGGCACTTTTTATACCCTTTCTTCAAGATCTGTCCATTTAAGGCAAATTCAAATTGTTATGACCTAGAATGACCCCATCAGCAGGAGGGAGTATTTCTGTCCTCTTTCGTTAATGCTAACTGCCTTTGCTGACTTCATTCACCCCATTACTTTTACATGCAAAGCTGATCCTAATTAAGGCTTTGCCTCTAGTTTGAAGGGAGACACGGTTTCTGTGGGTTACCCTCACGGTGTCTACAGTAGACAATGGTCACCTCAAGAGATCAAGTGTCAGGTGAATGGTCCTGAAAACCAAGGTCCCATTTCTTTAATTTACCTTAAAAATGGGATGGAGACATGGGGAGGACAAATGGTAACCATCTTAGAAGGTTACATAAATTAGAGAAAAAACATATACTAAAGGCATGTTCCAGCTATGACCTTGAGCATGGGATGAGGGTCTTGCTGACGTTATGTGTGGCTCAGATCAGGTTTGGATACTTGGCCCAGGCAGGCTGTAAGTCGCTTGGATGAGAAGCAGAGACAGACGTAAAATTGCTTCTGAAAAGTGGAGCTTTTCATTGTACCTCGCCCAAGAGACAGGCAGTGTGGAAGAGCCACTGACATAGGCACATCTCAGAGATTCCCACTTACATATTAATTCTGGCTCCCGAAACCCAATTAAACATGCCCACTCTTCACAAAACCTCTTGCTTCCATTCTGTTTCCATTTGTGAAGTGAAAATCTGTTCTGATGCTGTTTGGAAGGAGTGAGAGGTTTGAGGGTGTGTGTGTGTGTGTGGGGTGGATGCTCTGTTTGCTATCGCATCACAAGCCTTCATCCATTCTTCCTTCCAAATAGCCCCATGAGAGCAGATGGAGCATGGGAAATGTGCCACCCCCCAGGGGCCAGCTTTCGGATTGATCCTAAAAAGGCTTGAGAACTGATACCTCATTTCACTAGGATCTGTTAGTTTTCATTTTGGAAAGTTTTCAATTACCACCAGAGAAAAAGAAAACCAATGATCATCAAACCAGATTAGTTTATCTAGTATTTGCTGTTGTTCAATGCCTGGGAGGTGAGCCGACTCAAGGTGACATTGTGCGCAGTGGGGTTGGGCAGTTGTGATCAATGGCTAATATTTGGAAGTAGATCGCTTGGTCTTTCCTCCCAGGGCATCTTAGTCTAGAAGCTCTGCTGAAACTTGCTCAGTATCACGGCAACATGCAAGCCTCCTCACGCAGAATGGTGTGGCGGTCTCTGTGCCTGAGATGCACTGACTGGGAATCGAACCAAGTCTCTCAGACGTGAAAGGTGAGGATTTTACAACTGAACCATAACTTCCCCAGAATATCCAGTATTTACCAGTACAAAGTCCTGGTGTGGCACTGTAGGATAAGCATCGGACCTCAAGGTCGGTTTGAATCTCAAGGACGGTGCTTCAAACCCACCAGCTGCTCCTTGGAAACTACCTATACACGGTTGCTGTGAGTTGGAACCGACTTGACAGCACTAAACAACTAACAACAACAACAACAACAACAACTTGCTTTATAATCTGTATCTGCCACCACCATGTACCTCATCTGGGAAGTAAACAGACAAAACTAATAGAAAAGGAGAGGAGGCACAGCAGCATCAATAATGCAATTGAGCCTTTTCACTGCTGTTTGCAATTTCACCGTTTCTGACCTCAGGGGGAGATGAAGAGACACCTCTTCAGAGCACCTAACAGACAGATGTGCTTTCTCTGCCAGCGCCCAGCTTTAGAAATGGCTGAAATGCTACATGCCACACATTGTGAGCTGCAGCAGTGTCCAGGGGCAGCCTCCCCCAGTGAACTATGTCACTTGTCTTGGAATGTGCCCATGGGCCTCTGATGTGGTACTTTCCCCTCATGTTCCCCCTTGAAGAATCACACCGAATCATTAGCAGCCAGGCCACAGATCTGCCTGGTGTTTTCCTTTGCCTTTGCATTTTCATGCAAACTTCTCCCACCACCAAAAAAGCCTGAAACATATTCAGACTCTACACAGGGCATGCTTGTTGCCTTCGAAAATACAGTCACCACTGAGGATGCAAACAAAAGACGGGAGACAACTCTTTAACCTCCATCTGAAAGTCAGACTAAGTGGGTTTGTTCAGAAACACGTAGTTATCAGCAAATGGTATCAGGCAAGAAATCTCTTGGATACTTTCAGTTCCTCCGAAGTTGGCTATGAATAGCAGGGTTTCTGTTTTGTGCATCTTTTAAAAAGAGCAATTGCATAATCCCAGAGAGCTATGTGAAGACTGAGGCTCAGGACCCAACCAGACAGGGAAATGAAGTCTAAATTGAATTAATGACACCACTTCCTATTTTGCTGGGGACAGTTCCAATTTGAATACTTACATGACTTGCCCTAGTTTGAAGATAATGTCTTGGAAAAAGAGAGTGAGTGAGTGAGCTGTTATCCTTTACCGGTATTGCTGGTAGCATATTTATCAGGACATTAGCAAACTGCGTGGTGCAGACAGTTTGCGGTTGGTTGGTGGTTTGAACCCATCCAGCCACTGGCACCACAGAAGAGAGACCTGGTAATTTGCTTCTGTTAAGATTGGTTGGCTAGTTATGTGCCATGGAGTCAGTCACATCTCATAGGGACTCTGTATAGGGTTTCTGAAGCTGTAAATCTCTACAGGAGAAGAAAGCCTCATCTTTTCCTCAAGGAGTGGCTGGTAGATTTGAACTGCTGACCTTGCAGCTAGCAGCCCAATGTGTAACCCACTACGCTACCAGAACTCCTATTACAGCCAAGAAACTCCTATGGAGTAGTTCTTGGTAGCATACAGGGTTGTTGTGACTTAGAATCGATTTGACGGCAACAGATTTTATTTTATTTTGGTATGAAAAGAGCTGTTAGAATAGTGAGGAGTTTACATTTTACAACT